TCAAACACCTTTCCCATGTTCCCACAGCACAGACACGGATTTAGGGCAGGAAGAACCCAACACCCATCGGGATCAGAACTTCCCGAAGGACCCAGAGCGACGTTCACGCCAGGATATTTTTGCCGGGGTTGGAGCCCGTCCCGGATCCGTGCGCCGGGGTCGGACATGTGACGGACACTTCAAACAAACCCCGGGACCTCGGGGTCGCCCCGGGGCACGCGTGTCCCATGAACGGTCGGGATGAAAGGAGGACTGTGTTTGGAACAAGGAGGGCTCTCACCAGGAAACATCTCCAACGCTCAGGAGGAGCTGAGGTCGGGTTTATGGAAGCTCCAAGCGTTGATTTGTCCCTTTGGTCAGCGCTTTGATGGCCCCGCTCGCCTTTGTTCTGTTTTTGGTGGCGCCCCRGGACAGTCGGAGCGTGTTGTCAGGAATTTTGAGGGTTTTCCAAGGATTTCTGCTATTTCCCGGCAGGCTCAGAGCATCACAAGGCTTCATCTCGACACATTTGGACCAACCACGGTGTCCATGGAGCAAGCTGGGAGAGCAGAATGAGCTCCACAGGGGTGGGGCTGGATGGGATTTAAGATCCTTTCCTTAATTCAGGCTCAGGACTGAGTTTAGCCCCAGAATTTTATTTAAATTTAAAAAATTTTGAAAAATTAAAATCCAGCTTTGAAAAGCCCTAAATCCAGCATCATCACCTTGTGCGCAGCAGCAAAATAACTCCGAGAGCACCAAAAATATGGACACAAACTCCGGATTCCAGATTGAAATTGTAAATAAACCCCATTTAGTTTCATATCATTAAATAAACCCCATTTTAGCTCCATATAATCCAAGAGGTGTTAATTTCAGGAGGAAAAAATCCAATTAATTCCAACTTCAGCACTGTAGAACCAAACTCCATCCTCTGAAGCTCCTTGGGAAGTGCCTCCTTTCATCTGCCTGAGAAGTTCTACCACAAATTCCACCCCAACCAGCTCTGCCCTGCTCTTAAATCCAACTTTTTACCCCCAAAAGAAGCCCTGATCTTTCCAGGATCACAGTGATATCAGCAGAGCAGCCACATTTTAATAGATAAAGCCCTCAAGCAACAGAGATCAGCACAAAAATATCTCCAAACCCTCCAGAAAACACCCAAAAATACATTTATTTATGGAAGCTGAGCCCAGGGCTTTCCCCTAGGACACAACATTAAGAAAACCCCCAGCTGCTGCCCACAACTCTGTGGATTTCCTCAAAAATTCCTAAAACAAGGCCATAAAACCCTCCAAACCCTCAGGATTCTCGATCAAAGTGTTCAAACCATTGCAAGCCCAGAGCAAAGAAAACAACCACAATCCGCAGGAAATAAATTGACTTTTTTYCCCCTTAGCATTTTACCAATTTTATACCATTTTTATAGTCCTTAACTCAGGTTTTGATTCTACACCTCAAGAATAAAAAAAAAAAAAACCCTGAGGATCGTCACAACCCTTGAGGAAAACCCCTAAAAAGCTTTATTTTTATTCTATAAGCATATTTTAGGGGTGGATATCCCAAAATATCCATCATTTAGGGGTGGACATCCTAAAAGATCCATCTTTTAAGGATGGATACCCTGAAATATCCATCTTTTCAGGGTGGATATCCCAAAATAACCATATTTTAGGGGTGGAAATCCTAAAAGAATCCTATTTTAGGGGTGGATATCCTGAAATATCCATCATTTAGGAGTGGACATCCTAAAATATACACCTTTTAGGGATAAACATCCTAAAATAACCATATTTTAGGGGTGGACATTCAAAAATATCCATCTTTTAGGGATAAACATCCTAAAATATTGATATTTTAGGGATAGACATCCTAAAATAATCATATGGATTATGGATATCCCAAAATATCCATCTTTTGGGGTGAATATAGCAAAATATCCATCATTTAGGAGTGGACATCCTAAAATGTCCATCTTTTAGGGATGGACATCCTAAAATAATCATATTTTAGGGGCGGATATCCCAAAATATCCATCTTTTAGGGGTGGTTATCCCAAAATAACCATATTTTAGGGATGGATGCCCTGAAATATCCATCTTTTCAGGGTGGATATCCGAAAATAACCATATTTCAGGGGTAGACATTCTAAAATATGCATCTTTTAGAGATGGACATCCTAAAATAATAGTATTTTAGGGGCAGATATCCCAAAATATCCATCTTTTAGGGGTGGTTATCCCAAAATAACCATATTTTAGAGGTGGACATCCTGAAATATCTGTTTTTTAGGGATGGATATTTTCCATCACCCTCCAAAGGAGGGGAAAATGGGGAATAAATGGATTTATTTGAACCCTGAAGTAGCAGCCCCGGCTCAGCAGAGGGGTCAGGGCTCCTACTCTGGGGATACTCCAGGGATATTAAGGGGATACTCAGCCCTGGCTGCATTTTGGAGGCTGATCCGAAGGGAATTTCCCTCCTCACGTCATCACAAATCGCCCTGCAGKTGCCTCCAGAGCAAACCCTCCACGATTGTTTGGTTTCCAAGACATCCACRGTCACTTCCAGGGTTGTTTTTTCCACTCCAGACCCGGGCATTGTGTCCTGTCCACTCCACTCCCTCTGTGTTGCACAAAACCGACCCTGCAGAAGGTTTTGCTCAAAATTCTTCTCGCTTTGGGGCAGATTTGGGGAAAAAGTCAAGGAAAATGGGGCTCCTTAATCTTCAAAGGGTGCTTTCCATGATCCCAGGGTGCTCCAAGCCCTGTCTGGCCTGTTCTGGACACTTCCCACTTTTCTGGGAATCCATCCCAGCCCTTCACTGCTATCACAGGGAGGGATTTGTTCCCAAAATCCCATCCATCCCTGCCCTCTGGCAGCAGGAAGCCATTYCCCCTTATCCATCCCCTAGAAATATTCCCTCTCCATCTTTCCTCTTGGTTCCTTTGGGTCACCCCAAATACTTTTCTTCTCCCAAACAATCCCAAATGCCAAACATCACAGAGCCACCTGTCCCAGCTCTGCCTCTTCCCAAAATCTGGTGAGAGAAGCAGCCCCAACCCAACACATCCCAAAATCCTGCCGCATTCCCAACATTTTTCCATCCACAACCCCGAAAAGGCTGCAATGGGGGAAAACAAATCCCAAACCAGCCCAAACCACTGAGTTTTTTTTTTTACACACAGACAGAAAAACCTCAACACTTCAAACGCGAAAGCAACACTGGGAGCGCAAGACAAGCAGGGACAAGAATCCCAGAAAAACATCCTGGGAGAAGAATCCGAGGGAGATGACTCATGAGAGAGGGTCGGGAATGAATGGAGAAGGTTTTCACGGGGGTTTCACGACACCCCGAGCTCCTCTCACGAGACAGTCTTATGGACAGACGGAGCCCTGCCCGTGGCTGGAGAGATCACCCCGGCAGCTCTGTTTGTCAACAGCGGCAGCTGCCCAGAAAGCCGCGGGACAAAGCCGCAAATCCCAAGGAATTCCGGGATAAACGGGGAACGGCAGAACCTGGTCCCGGTTGCTCCAGGATTCTGAAATCGCCGCTCCATTCAGGGAGAGGGATCCCAGTATAAAACCATGGAATATCCTGAAGTGGAAGGGACCCACAGGGATCAYTGAGCCAACTCCCAGCTTTGCGCACACACCCCAAAATCCCGTCCTGGGCACCCCTGGGAGCGGTGTCCCCAAGCTCTGSGGTTGTGTCCCCATTCCCTGGGGAGCCTGGSAGAAAAACACTTCGCTCAYATCCATCCCAAATCCGCCCTAAACCATCCCGCTTCACCCCACAAAGCCTCTCCCACCCTCAGGGCATCACCAGCCCCGTAACCCCCATTACAGACCCCGCAGCCCGCCAGGCTGGACCCTTCTCTCAGCACCGCAATCCCCACAAACCCACCGGACATCCCTGAAACCCCAAAATTCCCCGCTGGGGACCCATCCCACTCACACCCCAGCCTCATCCAGGCCTCCCCGGCCCCGCCCGGCCCGGTCCCCGCCCCTCACTCACCGCCGGCCGCGGGGCCGTCCCCGGGACCCCCGTCCCCATCGCCGGCGGAGGGGGGATCGTCTCCAGCGAGCGCCGAGGCCAAGGGGTGTCCCTGGGAGTACTTGACGTCGCGGAAAAACCTCTTGGTCTCTCGCAGGTTGTGCTGCAGCCGCGCCAGGTGCCGGTTGTAGTGGCCGAAGGAGCGGCAGAGCTCCCGCACGGCCCCGCCGGGACCCCGCCATGACGGGGCCCCCTCGCCCTCCATCTCCTCCGGGTCCGCCCCGCTATCCCCTCCCCACCGCGGGCCGCGCTCGGGGCCTGCCAGGCTGCCGCCGTTCCGGGAGGAACCTCCCCGAGGTTTTTCCTCGCCTCCCGACCGCCCCCCCCGCCTCCCCGACCCCCTCGGGCCGCCGCCTTCTCCCGAGGGGAAGCGCCTCCACCGGGCGCGCTGCGTGTGCGCGGAACCTTTATCGGCGCGCCGCAGGGCAAAGGGGGAGGAGGCCGGGCGCACCCTGCGCGCACAGCACGCCGGGAGCTGTAGTTCATTTACATCGGAATGTAGTTCATGATGACGCCGGGAGTCTGTTGCGCCGCAAAGGCTCATAGGAACTGTAGTTTCTCGAAAAGAGACCGCCGACCTCCGTCCGAGGCCTCTGCGCACCCCCGCGGGGAGCGAGAAAAAACASTCGAAAAAAAGAGAAGCACCATAAAATGATGTGTTTAAAAAGGGGAAGCAAAAGGGGAAGCTGGAACGTTGCCGGCTGTTCCCCCATCCCGCGCTGCGCGGACCGGCTCGGCAGGAGGCGGCGCGCCCGTCTCAAGCTCCGCTCCGCCTCCGCCAATCACCAGCGGCAGCCCCGCCCTCCGCGCGCTTCCATTGGTTAATTCCTCCCTCCAGCACCGCCCCGTACACCCCCTCCACCAATCAGCGCGCTTTTCCTCCCCACCCTCGCATCGCCATTGGCCGGCGGCGCTGTCCGTCAGGCGCGGCGGCGGCGGCGATGCCGGTGCCGGCGGCG